TCTTCTGCCAGAATTTAGGGATTCTTCCAAAATCTTCCAAATCTTCATGGCAGCTGTGAATGAGGAAAGGGCAGTGGCTGGTAACCAAGCTGCATCAGAGGCCAGGTATGCTGTGGTGAGATTTTCATTCTTTCTTTTTTCCTTAGGATGCTTAAAGAACGCTGCTTTATCCATTGGCAAAGCCGTCTTACTGGCCAGGAACAAAACAGCTACATCAATTTTAGTGACTGCCAGTCTACAGCAAGACATCCCCAGAATGGGTATAATCTGGTGTCTCCCATATACGGAAGTCTTTTTTCTGCTTTCTTCTTTTTAGTAGGTACGAGATTCTTCACATGGGCGCGACCCGCGAGAGGAGGCGGGCACGCCAAACAGGAAATAAAAGCAAATCGCACTTTATCCCAACATGGCCATTGAAGGGAGCATTGGATCCTGAGCACGCAGCCCGAGTACCCCATCGACTCCAACAGAGAGACCCTCAATCTCGGACCACATGGCAGAGAGGATTTGACTGGAGAACTATATTAAAGAAGCACCAGCACTCTAAACAGGAGCCTTTGAGCCCAGAGGCTTGAATAAGCCACAACTCTTTACCCTTTACAAGACTGAAATTAGCAGAGAATATTGGTGAGATCTACCCATATATTACTCATAAAGGACATGTATTTGGTGTGTACACACTAGAACTGTAAATATTTTTCATTTTTTCATTTTATATTTTTTCCTTTTTTCCTTTTGTGTATTTTGTTTTCTCATTTTTCACCTTTTAATTTTTTACTTATTAATATATGGTCTCCTTGCCAGGAAGAAATCTGGTCCTAATTGTATGGAGGACTCTCAGCTACACAGTGCGATTAAGCAATATTATGACTGATATTGTCAGACTCTATTGGGGCTTTTATTTATGTTTGCTGTTTTTTGGGATGACCACAGGAGTTATAGTAGCATGAGGTGTATATTACGAGTTATGTATATCACAATAGCTAAAGTCATTATCTGTTTAGACATGGCAATAGAATAAAAATCAATCATTTTTCTAAATGAATATTCGTGTGATTACACGTACTTGTATATATTTCTTTTAAGCCAGTTGGAGTGCGGTATCATAAGTTTATATGTATATACGTTTTGAGGTAGTTGCAGTGGGCTACCTAGATATCCAGCACCTATTTGGATGGAAGAGTGTCAGTACACATCCCTGATTTTTGTACTAGATTCTTAAATGACTCTAGGAGAGAAAAGATATATGATTTCCTCCTTGAATCTTAGAAGATGCTAGAGGTCAGTTGTTCTTCTTTGGCCCTTTCATGGATATGGAGGCTATCTCTGACAGTTTTAATAAGATCATCATCCAAAGAGGCAGAAGTCAGAAGAATCTGTAAGGACAGGAGGATCTTCTGCATATTCGTAATCTCAGAAAGATGTAGAGCAACTTTCTGCTGGGTCTGATTTCCACTGAGGTGGGCCTTGAACCCTCTGCCTTTTACTAGTATGGCTCAGAATCTTACAGCCCTTGAGAGACTACTTTCTTAACAGGCTTGACCAAATCCATTTAAACAGGAGAAGATTACGATTTTTCTGCTTCCTTAAAACAAGTGGAATGTATGAATGTTTTCTCAAAAGCAAGGTTGTCACAAGCATCACAAGCAGATGTACTCTTTCATTCCATCTTCCAGATCTACTTGTAGATGGTCTTTTCAGAGACTTTTAGAAAGCCCACCCAGGGCAAAACTAGTAAGTTATGTGGTGCCGATTTTTATGTATACAGCGTTCAGGGGAGAGGAGAAACGAGCAGCAACATTGGCGGACGGTGGACCTGCACAAAAACTGTAACTACCCCAAGAACAGTGAGCTGGATAAATACAGTGACATTTACTGTTTGAGCGATATATCTTTTATATTGTTAGATTTTATTTATTTTTAAAACAGAAATAAAGCTGAATCTCCGGAGTAATTAATCTCTATATAGTGGGTTATATACAAAGTGGATACAAGTCATTATAACCAAAGTGTAACAGAATAAGGTGAGACCTCCACATAGGGTGCATATGGTGGAGGCTTTTTACTTAATGTTATCACACCATTTAAGCCTTGTATTTCCCTAGATAATAGCTTAACCCCTGGAGTGCTGGAAAAAGAAAAAAAGTGGCTATCTTTTGAGATTTGGACTGCTCATTTCTGGGATTCATTTCTGAGACTCTCTGTGCTGGAAGTTGTTTATATTTAATGAAAAAGTATTTTTGTGTGAGCACACATTCTGTATAAATCACATCTATAAGGTTAATAGGTTATAATTATAATTTCTTATTTTTCTGAACTTTCCAATTGGGGAGCTTTTAAAAAAGATTGTGTGCTAACTCATTGTCCAATACTTTTCACTAGGTTAAACACAAAAAGGTACACCAAGCATCCAAACTCGTTTATTTAAAAAATAAAAAATACATACAAAAGCTCAGTGACTCAACTCACAGCTCTTGATTGTGACCTTGTGTCACGTATTCACCTGCATATAAAAATGTGATTAATGACATTTACTGTTCTGACAGGAAAAGTTGTGCTGAGCAACATAACTGTCCTGACAGGAAAAGTTGTGCCGAGCAGCAATTAAATTCACAGGAGGGTTTGTGCTGAGAAGCAATTATGCAAAGGGAAACCTGGTAACTGCCTTTGGGGTCAAAGGCCGATTACAGCCTATCAGATCCAGATGAGGTTTCCCTTCTGGTTGTCCGAGAGCGCGTTATTGATTCTGGTCATTCTGGTATTTTGACTTTGGCATTGTTTTGACTTTAAAGAGACATATACCAGTATATACACCTCCCCAATGTGATCACAACAAAAATGGATAATATTACCAATATGAAACTTGATTTTAATACAAACAGCGTAGAGCTTGATTGGGATATAGACTAAAACAAGAAAAAAATACAAAACAGCATAGTGTGAACTGTATAATAACTGATAAATAATAAATGAATACCGTATATACTCGAGTATAAACCGACCCGAATATAAGCCGAGGCCCCTAATTTTACCCCCAAAAACTGGGAAAACGTATTGACTCGAGTATAAGACTAGGGTGGGAAATGCAGCAGCTACTGGAAAATTTCTAAATAAAATTAGATCCTAAAAAAATTATATTAATTGAATATTTACAGTGTGTGTATATGATGAATGCAGTGTGTGTGTATGAGTGCAGTGTGTGTGTATGAATGCAGTGTGTGTGTATGAGTGCAGTGTGTGTGTATGAATGCAATGTGTGTATGAATGCAGGGTGTGTGTGTATGAATGCAGTGTGTGTGTGTATGAATGCAGTGTGTGTGTATGAATGCAGTGTGTGTATGAATGCAGTGTGTGTGTATGAATGCAGTGTCTGTATGAATGCAGTGTGTGTGTATGAATGCAGTGTGTGTGTATGAATGCAGGGTGTGTGTGTGATGCAGTGTGTGTTTGTGTTGCAGAGCCTTGGTGGGGGGTGGGCATTTTTATAAAAAAAAATGTATTATTTTTATTATTTTTGTTATATTATTTTGTTATATTATTTTTTTATTATTTTTATTATTATTAATATATTATTATATTTATTTATTTGTTGTCCCCCCTCCCTGCTTGATACATGGCAGGGAGGGGGGCTCTCCTTCCCTGGTGGTCCAGTGGCATTGGCAGTTCATTGGGGGGAGGAGGGGGACTGGCAGAGCTGTTACTTACCTCTCCTGCAGCTCCTGTCAGCTCTCTCCTCCTCCGCGCCGGTCCGTGCAGCTCTTCTCTCAGCTCACACTGTAAGTCTCGCGAGAGCCGCACTATGACCCCGCGGCTCTCGCGAGACTTACACTGGGAGCTGACCGAGGTGCTGACCGGACCGGCGCGGAGGAGGAGGGAGCTGACAGGAGCTGCAGGAGAGGTAAGTAACAGCTCTGCCAGCCCCCAGTCTGTATTATGGCAATGTAAATTAATGTAAATTGCCATAATACAGACACTGACTCGAGTATAAGCCGAGTTGGGGTTTTTCAGCACAAAAAATGTGCCGAAAAACTCGGCTTATACTCGAGTATATACGGTATATGACTCCCACTCACATTCTCCAGAGCCATACCAGGCTCTGTAAAGCAGGCTCAGGGGTGCCAAATACTGGCTAACGATCTAGGTGATTCAGGCAGATGAGACTCCAAGTATAAGTGCAAAATATATTTATTATTAAAAAAATATATATAAAAATTATGCACTACAGAGCACTATGGGGGTGGAACCCAATACAGAAATTAAAAGAATATAACAAAATTGGAATTCCACTTACCCCTATTTGTATAGTAGCCCAGAGTGTAGAAAAACACATGAAATCAGAATTAACAGGTATAAAAAATAAAAAGCAGACGCGTTTCGGCTAGCAGCCTTCTTCCAGTGCTTATCTCCATGTCCTGTTGAGTCTTCTTATATAGTTCTTATCTTTGCCATTCACCTGGATTGAATTTCATACCAGTGTTGCGTCACTTCCGGTTTTGCGTGTGACGTCACTTCTGGTTTTCGGCCAGTTGGAACGCACGCTGAAACGCGGTGTTCAGGATGTGGGTTACTCCTTAATGCTGTAATTGAGTCCCCATAGCAACCATACACTCCATATTTGCAGGAAGTCATAACATAATAATGAAATACAAAAATTTTAAATATAATCAATATAAAAATAGTAAATAGACATATGTATACACAATACAAATTCAAATCAGACTATCATTAGTCTCTCTGCAAATATAGAGATACTTTAAGATGTATAAAAAATATATATAACCTCTAAGATAGCACACACCATTCTCAGCCATGATTTCATGGACCCCTGGAGAGTACTTCATCCTACTGACATAGATTACACTTTTCATTCTGCGGTGCATAACACATACACAAGGATAGATCGATTTTTAATACCCACTACATACATAGATAGGGTTCAAAAAGCCACCATAGGCCCCATAACGTGGTCAGACCACGCTCCCATCCCACTGGACATCCAGGAACAATACCCATCCATGGAGACTTAATGACACATTACTCACAAAGCCAGACACAGCAACCACCATACAGAAAGACATAGAAGCCTACTTCACGGACAATCCCCCAGAAGACACAAGCGTAGAAATAGTATGGCAGGCTCACAAGGATGTCATTAGAGGCACAAGCATCAAACTGGCCAGTTATCAGCAAGAGCAGCGTAAACAGCGATACATCCAGCTCATAAATGATATCACAGACCTAACGCACAAAAACAAATTATACCCATCAAAGGACACACAAACGCAACTGACCGCCTTACAAAAAGATGGATCGAAGTAAGATTTTGAATAAAAAGACATCTAGTGAGGAGAGGTACTGTGCTGACCAAGTACCAATCATTTTAAATTATAGTGAAGATGCCAAGCAAATTAAGCACATTATTAACAGATATTGGCGTATCCTTAAATCAGATGCTAATCTGAAAGAAATTATTGATGATAAACCACGCATTATCTATAGAGGGGCAAAAAATGTAAAGCAACATCTAACCACTAGTTTTATCAAAGATAAAGTGGTAGTAAAAAACTTTTTCGGTCTAGAAAAGGGTTTCTATCCCTGCAAATCCTGCCTGGCCTGTAAGAAAACCTTATTTGGCAATCAAAAACAGACAGAATTTACCTCCTATTCTACTAACCGTCCATTTAAAATCCATCAGGGTTTAACCTGCAATTCCACTAATGTCATATACCTCCTCTGGTGCCCATGTGGTCTGCAGTACATTGGAATGACCACGAGAGCTTTTAAAACCAGAGTTGCGGAACCTGTGGGGAATATCCAGAGGGGGTATATGAAACATAGTGTATATGCACACTGCACTGAAAAACATGGCGGTTATCCTTCTTTGTTGTCATATGGGGCGATAATAATATTAAGGAGCTGGCTAAGATTGAGGACAAGTGGATCTTCGATGTGAATACCTTGTCCCCGAATGGATTGAA